TGATTCCATCCGTGGGCTGCCGGTTGCCCACATGTGCTGTATCTACACTCATATTTATACACGCTGAAAAGGCCCTTCAACAAAACCAATAATGGTAAATACCAAGATTCTATTTGGCTCGTTTGCGCAAAATGCAATTATTTTTGAGTCCGAGTTCGAGCTACGAAAATCCTTAGTACTGGATTTTTTGTATAAGTAAAATTTTAGCGTCGCATATTCCTCTCAACAACAAGTTCCAGACTGAACATAAAAAACCTGCATAAGTCCTACATAGCATAACATAAACATAGCATAACATCTGTACGGCATAAATTCCTCTGAATTCAACCTCTGCCTGTTTCTTACTTTCACATACGGGGTTTTGGGCTCCTTTGCAGTCAACAGCCCCGTTCCTTCTCCATTACGAGCCGCCTTCCCTCCTAAACTTAAACACCACCACCTCAACCGTAACCTCCTCTCCTCCAGCTTTCTAGCCTTCGTAGAAACCATTGGAAATCGCCTCTCGAATCGACTGAGCCGAGTTTTAGTAGTTGTCACGAAAGTGCGCGCTCGCCAGTGCCCCTCCGATTGTTTTAACTCATCGTTATAAAGAAATTCTTACGCTCTGCACTATTGCGTAATATATCAAATAATGATTAATGGTTTTTGTTAATTAAAGATCAACTGCGTTACTATGACGCAGTACCTCTGTCCCTGGTTCAAACTTTAACCACCCTACCCTCACTGAACTTCCGATCTTTGTCCCCTGGGGGTATAAAAGCACTCCTCCCCATCGTCGGGATCACCACTGCCGATCTACTACTGGGACCTACTTCTATATAACTGATACTCCTATTCTGGGGAGCTTCGGCTCCCCAGAGCCTCACCTCTTTTTTATGCATTATCCTTTTAACCTACTATGTATTAATAAACATGTATATAGGATGCGACGTTTTACGCACACCTACAAACGGGGCACACACTAGTCTAATAGGCTAACAATTAGGGTCGCGATAGCACCAAGCAGTAATACAGCCTGAACAAATGCTCCAGATGTGAAGATGATAATTACTTCAGAAGCAAATTTCTCTAAGAATTTTCAAACCTCAGGGCTGCTGATAATTTTGTTGATATTCGCTGCTGATACAGTTTCAACAGGAGCCATAGCAACGTTTTCAGTATACGGCTGGCCAGTCAACTGGAATTATTAGCAATCTTGCTGGTGCATGCCGTCATGCTCTTTACCGCACATATGTTTACCAGCATAAACACCAACCTCATAAACAAGTTGTCCGTAACTGAAGTCCTTTCCGTAATCTGGTACGAATCCATCTCCAGACGTAAATTCGCTGTTTGTACCCGAATTGGCCTAAAG